AAAATATTATGCTTCTAGCACCACTTCTGAAAATGGAAAATTTGTTTCTAAAAAGACTAACATAGAAGTCTATTTTTTTATTCTGAGTTTCAGTGGAATCAAAACATGTTGTAAGGTTTTATTGCAATTAAAATTATTTGGGGTAAACTTGAAATAAAATGATTCAGTCCAATTCTGACAACTTAAGTAGAGCCATTATTCAACTGGGTAAGATAAACATCAGACCAAGCACAATCTATTTTATTGATAACATTAAATTATTAAAATTATTTACCCAGTCATAAAAAGTTCTTGATCCTTTAGTAATATTTTAATAAAAATAAATTTTTGTTAGAAAAACAGTAAAAGAAACCAAATCTGTGTTCAAGATACCATTAAACTAAGTAAAGTCAATTTTGAAACTGCAAATTTTAGACAGCATTGCCCTGAATCTGTACCTTGTCTTTACAGATTATGATTAATGATCCCGAACATATGCAAAGCTAGACATTATTTTAAATAATTGTCCATATCTGGCAAATCCACCTTACTAAACATTTTCCATAGGAATGTTGACATAAATTGATTATTTAAAATAGGATTTGCCTGAAGAAACTTGTGCTACTGCTATCTTCAGTATACCTAGCTTGTAAGGTAGGAATTAATGTTCCTTATCCATATGGAATGTAGCATTAATCATAATATAATTTTAAAATATAGGCTGTATATGATATTTCAAGCAGTTTAAGTGAAAAATTTCAAGAAAGATGCAAAATATGCAGGTATGGAAAGACATTTCTCAAAGTTAGAAACAGACATACATGAGGACCAATCATTTGGACCCCTAGGTTGTAGGAATCCATAGGTCCCTCTCAGGGAGGTTTTTCATGTTTCCCAGTTCTTTCTTCTTTTTAAAAAAATCATCAAATTCACTAAAGCTTTCAGGAAATTGTAATATAACAGTGATGATTACAGGCCTCCTTATCTTGTTCCTGGGTCTGGATAGGATCACATTATTTTCCTGTTGTCTTTCTGACACATATATAAACATATTTTAATCACATTCACTGGGAAATAGAGTCTAATTGTCTTAGACTTTACATATAATAAAGTCTTAACTATGCTAAAACCTAGTTTATTACAACCCTGGCATTTGGACAGCTCCTATTTTAATACCACCTATAAAACAAATCACAATCATACAATTCAGACAACCACATAGTCAGAAATTTTTCTTAGAAAATAAGCTGAAATCTGTCTTTCTAAAACTTCCATTTACTATCCTTAATTCTTTTATCTATGTTATATAAATGAAATATCCAACTATTTGAAGTCAATTATTCGAATTACCCTAAATTAATTCTTTCGCTACTTAAACATCCAAGTTCCCCTAGGCGTTCCTCTCACAATATGACTAAGATATTTTATTTCTGTCCTTCCCATATTTTTTAAAAATAAATTTATTTAATAAATATCACCTAAAATGTTAAAGTCACAGAAATTGTGTTTGTCAGAAATAGTTGGTAAATGACATTTTTAACATGGAAACACTTGCTTTCTGCGGGCCCTATGGGATATTATAATAGTTGTGGTAGTGACATAGTTTTTAAATCTCTCCAGAGCTCTTCATAAAAATAGACTTAACAACTAGAGAGCAAAAATTTTTAAATATCTATAACTGTACTGTGTGAAAACATATCCTCAGGAAATCCAAAATGTGAATGAATGGGGAAAAAACACTGACACCCGTAAGACCACTATTGTGTTAGCAATTAATTACGCAGGAGGAAACAGATGAAAGTAATGAGGCATTTGATGGATAGAAATAAAACAAAAAGTTAGACACTCGCTGGAAAGCTCAGAGAGCCAATTTAAGAACAGAAGCTAAATCCTGGAAGTGTTTAGTGTGTGAATTCAAGGGATCTCTGTTAAAATCTGAGGAGTCTGGAGTATTCTGGGATTATGAACCCCCCAAAACTAACCAGCCATAACTCTCCTCTAGGTCAAAGCCCAAACTGAAGGGTAGCTTCTGGGGATAGAATAGAATCCAAATTAAGCAGCACAAAGAAATGGTGAAAATGAGAGAGGAAAAAAAGATCCACAACACAGAGGGTGGTGGAGACCAAAGCCAGAGAACTTGGAATGAAAGCCATGATATTTTTTGGACACTACACAAAACAACAGAAGCAGTGGCTTTAAATCCTGAAGTAAGAAAAGCTTTTTCTTAAAGCTCAGAAAAATTAATTTCATAAAAGGGGCAATACAGAAGGATCATCATCTAATCCTATACAGAGTTGCTATAAAGGAATAAGAGAGTAAGATATATAATAACATTGCCACAGACAATGAAAGCGGCCAGAAAGTGAAGTCTATGAAAAATAAAAATAAAAACTACAACCCATTATTTCATAATGAGCTAAAAGATATCAAGAAATTGTATGAGACTTGTCAGAGCAACATAAGCTAGAATTAAATAAATTTAGAAATTCAGTGATAGAACTCAGAAAAAGAATCAGTATTTATAAATTCAATTTAGATATAAAGGCTAAACTAGAAAAAGTGTAATTACAAGTGAACACAACAGAAAGTACCCTAAGAGAAATAGAAGATTAAAACAAGAAATGTTTTTAAAATTAAAAAGAAAATCATTAGATAATAACTAATTCAGTGATAAATAAATCTAAATAACTATTCAATAATCTAGTTTAGCTAAATATCTCTAGTCTAACAACAAAAAAAATCCTACAACAAATCTTAAATTTTATTAAGTATGTTGTTTATTGTAGTATATATAGAGCAATCCTGAAAGTATTTTGTGTGTATTATAGGATTAAGCTAGTAAGTAAAATTATTAATAATGTTAGAAACCAGAATTCTCATGGCAGAAGGGAAGTATAATAATGGTGAATGAAGTCAGTGAAGGACCTTCTGTGTTGGATTAGCATTCGAGGTATTAATATGAAATCATGATGGAAAAAATAATCTATTTTCTATTATGTTTGCTGAAATGGCTTAGGAACCATGACACCCCAGTAGCAACGAACACATCTAGTTTTGAGATTTTAGTTTCCAAATATCGTTCTCTACTGAAAGAACTGAGCTCTTTGGAAAAGCTGATTCCAGGGCTGTGGTTAGAAAAGCAAAAGGAAAACAAAATTTGGAATATGTTAAACAACGGAACCTGACATTCACAGATTTAATATGCATACTTTCATCTTTTCACAACTGATCACAAATGGCCAACACATTACAGCTGTCTGACATTGGATACATTTCCTATATCAAGTTAAAATTCTTTTTTTTTTGAGACAGAGTCTCACTCTGTTGCCCAGGCTAGAGTGCCATGGCATCAGCCTAGCTCATAGCAACCTCAAACTCCTGGGCTCAAGTGATCCTTTTGCCTCAGCCTCCCAAGTAGCTGGGGATACAGACATGCACCACCATACCCAGCTAATTTTTTCTATATATTTTTAGTTGTCCAGCTAATTTCTTTCTATTTTTAGTAGAGACAGGGTCTCACTCTTGCTCAGGCTGGTCTTGAACTCCTGACATTGAGCGATCCTCCCACCTCAGCCTCCCAGAGTGCTAGGATTACAGGCAGGGGCCATAGCCTCCGGCCTTAAATTCTTAATGTTTAATCTGCAAAATATTAGTAGAAAACAGAAAAAACTCAAAAGCTTTGTTGTAATAAATGATATAAAGTGGATTAAAAGACGATGGTGCTTTACATATACTGCACATTTAATAAATGTTTGTTTCCTATATTATTTTCCATTCTTTTACCTTTTTTACAACCCATTAACCCAACCAGTTATCCTCCCTATGACACCTCAATATAGCTGCCTTTACTTAGGTTTTGGAGACTGTCAATGTGATTACAATATTTCATTCTAAAACAAAAATGTACTTCCCTTACATCCTATCACTCGTATTAGAAATACTATCACTCCAAAAGATAATAGCATTAATCATAATATTATAATTTTAAAATATAGGCTGTATATGATATTACAAGCAGTTTAAGTGAAAAATTTCAAGAAAGATGCAAAATATGTAGGTGTGGGAAGACATTTCTCAAGGCTAGAAACAGACATACAAGAGGACTAGTCATTTGGACCCCTAGGTTGTGTGAATCCATAGGTCCCTCTCAGGGAAGTTTTTCATGTTTCCCAGTTCTTTCTTTCACTTTCCCAAAGATGAATCCAGAAATACTTTTCAGATTCCACCTCCCAGAGCCTCTCCAATTATTGATGTATTCATCAATTCAGCAAATATTTTTTGAGCACCTAACATGGGTCAGGCATTCTATTAAATGCTAGAGGTACAGAGTGGTAAACAGAGATGTAGGCCCTATGCCTCACAGAGCTTAAAGTACATCTGGAGATACATAATAATACAGACAACTATGATACAGTAAGGTAAGTTCTTGTGAAAACTAAAGTATGTGTTATACATTGTAGAGGCAAATATCACAGATATTTGTCCTAAGCAAGTTGAGAGCCATTGGAGGATTTTAAATTGATGAATAAAATGATTAGATTTTTATTTAAAAAAAAATACTTGTACATACTATGGAAAATGTAATAGGAAGGGAACAAGAAATCCAAGGAAAGTTTCCCATGGAGTCAAATGACACAGAGAGCAAGATATAACACAAGATACAACTAACAACAATAATGATTTCCAAAAAAACACCTAATAAGAATGTAATATCTACTTTTGCTAGGTGCTATGTGCATATATTCAAAATCTCAATTCCCACAACCAAACAGAGAAATAAGTACTCCTGTTAGCCCCTGCCCTTTACGATTTTACAGATGAGGAAATTCAGGTTCGGAGTAGTTTAAGTCATGCACCTAAAGGAACAGAGCTTTAAAGAGAGAAAGAATTCAAATCAGTCTGTCTTGAACCACTGTGATATATTATTATTGACGTCTCTCTCCACAAAAGTCATTCAAACTCTACTCACAGACTCCGAGTTTTCAGAGAATGTTCTCATGAACAAAGTTTTTATCTGTTACTTGAATATCAGAAGGAGGCTTGATTCTGAGAAAGAAAAACTAAAGCCCAAGGGCATAAACCTAAGACAAGTCCCTCTAATTAGATGATTATTTCATATACAGTACATACTAAATTTAAATGGAAAATATAAGACAGAAATAATATTTTAAATAAATAAGTACTTGTCAGCAATTGCCTGATCCTTTTCCATATCCTTTATTCCAGATGGTTTGACTTGTCCCTACTTGCAAGCTCATTATATCTTACTGTGACCTCAGTTTGAAAAGTATGCTAAGCTACTTCCTCAGAAGTTGCAGGCACTGTGTTATGGTCAGTTTTGCTACTTGTCCCTCATACTTTCCTCTCTTTATTAGAACTATTTGAACCACCTATGATTTAGCACAAACAGACTAATATAGGAGGGCATTATCTCTGCCTTACCACAGAATGCTGAATTTCATTTCAGTGAAATTTACTAATCTTGTTTTTTCAGATAACGACCATTGTCCTATTCCAAATTAATTTTAATCCTACTTATATTGCAGGGCCAAATTTCATTTTCATATTCTGAATTTTACCATTTATAACTAAAAATAAGCTATATGAAAATATTCATTTATTTTTTCATATATTTGATGTTTGGTATGCCCAACATACATAAATTGATGACAGAGTATCCTATCTTATCTCCACAAGTACAATATTGAGAGATACTAGCAAGAAAAGTTTCCCTTTATTTGCAAAGATTAGCTACTGCAAAAGATGCAAGAAACAACGAGAGAGAAAAATACAACTCACTAAAGGATAATATAGGTTGATGTGGTAGCAGATGTTTCAGCAAACACTAATAAACAAAATATAAAATTCTCATATACATGTTTCATGATTTATATTTCTATTGTATCCCATTATATAGTTCATGGCTTATATTTCTATTATATCCTATTACATGAGAGAAATTCAATATATGCTTCTGACTGATATCTTTAAGTTTAATAAAATCTGTCAGAATTCTGATAATTATTAATAAAAACTTTATTAACTGGTTATTCCATGATCAATTTAAAAGAAAAAGTTTAAAAATATCAAATTTTGAATATGCTAAATATTATAATATATATTACTATAGTGTGTGGTATTTTCCTTAAAACTAGGTCAAATAGTCTATACCATTTTGATAATAGAGAATACAAAAATTAAAATTATTGGAGAATTGATTTTATCACTTATTTTATCATCTTATTTCAATATTCAAATAGTATAGAAGAAAAAACATACCTCAAATTTTTTCTAACTAAGAAACCACGTATCCATCTTTGAACAATCAAAACTGGTGAATTATGAGCCAGAATTTCATTAATTTTTGAAATAATATATTTAATATTATCAATTTCATCCTCATAGGTTATTCCCTGTATGAAGAAAATATATTCAATAATTTATCTTTCATGAAGATTTTTCCCAAAGATATTTCAATCTTGGTAATCTAATGGTATGAATAAACTAATAAAATGTTCACAGGGTCTTATAGGCATAATAGTTAATAAATGCATTTTCATACTAACTTTATTAGAGTAAAAGAACAAAAATTAGTAGCATCAAATAATTTCAATTCTCTATACAAAATGCAAGATTCTTGATAATAACTTTTTCCATTCAAGGTTCTTCTCCAAATCTGATAACATGTATATAATTTTGACCATAATCATTCCTGATCTCTGAAAGGTAATGGCATGAACAAGTGTCCAGGGGAATTCCAGAAGTACTCTGTGGATCCCCATAAAGAAAAATAATATATATTGGATTCATAAAATAATTTACATTAGTTTAAAATTTTTTTGTAGCTTAACTAGAATGTTGGCTACTTTTATTGGAACACATCACATTTCCTTGGAAAAGATATTCTATATTGCCCTTAAGAAAGATCTTCCCTGAAAATTTTTAAATTTTAGATCATAAACTCACAATTCTCACTGACCACTTGACTTATGTTTTGAATGTGGAATAAAAAGCTGACATTTACATTCTAAGGCATCTCTCCTGAAGATTATCAATGCTCTAATATTCAAAACATAAATCAAACACTCATTGTTATTAGTAAATTTTTTACTTGGCCCTAGCTTGATTCCTTTCCCAACAATAGCAACTGCAAATACTTTAATACTATTAAGTGCTTTTCAAGTTCTTTCCCTAGAGCTTCCTAACATCCCGCTTCCTTTTCTAAAGAGAAAATAGGGCATGAAGTCTGAACTCCATCCACTAATTCCCCTCTATTCCCTACAAATTTAACTATATTCCTATACATACTGAGTAGAAGTGCCTTCTACTCAATCTTAAAAAAAGTAGTACATCTCTTCCTGTCCAAGATTCATGCTCTGTTATTGTTATGAGTCCCATCTCTATTTTTAAATAGTTTCCTTCTATTGGCACTATGCTGTCATCTATAAATATGATGTAACTTCACTAATCCTTAAAATGCATACAGATAAATAAGAACTCATATCTGAACCCTACATCCTTTATATCTAACTAATGAAAATTAAGAAATGACAATTAAAAGCCCAAATTCTTGAAACAGAATTCCAGATTTGTTTCTCCCATCTTCTCCCTTCCTGTATTTCAGCCTACTGGGTTCTACCTTTATTATCCCAGGAACATTTTTTTTGTTTTAACATAGTTAACATTGGACATTCTTTCCTTGAAATACTTCCCTTCAATTCTGTATACCTCTCTATTTTCCTCTAACTCTTCTTTACTTCCGGAATTTTAAAGACCTAGCCATGCCATGTTCATCACTTAAATGTTATATTGAAAGAATTTTCTTTTTAATCTATACATACTCTCCAAATGATTGCATTCAAATCCATAGGTTTATTACTCACCTTTGTACTGGTGACTCTCAGATTTCTGTCCTTAGACTTGACTTCTCTCTTGAGCTACATAACAATATGGTCAAACTGATATCTAATTAAACTTGACTGTCTTAAACAAGAATATTCTCTCTCCAAATTGCTTTCTCATATGCTCTACCTTAGTGAAGGGTAATACTAAATCATCTAATACAGAAACCCTGAAACCACCCTAGGCTCACTTATCTCTTATGTGTCCCTGTATATAAGTGTTACTAGATCCAGTATATTCAGCATCCCAAATATTTATCTGACCTCTCCTTTTCTTCTATTTCCTGCCATTGCTTTACTGTATGTCTTTATCACTACTTTCCTAACTTACTAAAATAACTCTTAATTGATATTTGAATTAATTCTTACTCTCCCTCCCTCCAAACCATAATATGCTCTATTGCTAGAGTAAACATTCCAAAATGCAAATCTGATCATATCGAATTCTTGCTAAATATATCTCATTGACCTACCACTGAAAGACCAATTACAAATTTCTTGACTTGGCACACAAAGTCCTTGACCTAGTCCCCTCCAACCTCCTCAATGTCATCTCCCTTCATTTTACATAGAATACCTTCAACTTTAGCAATATCCAACCACTTACAACCTTGAAAATTACCTGATTACCAAACTTCAATGCTTTTTACAGATGCCATTTCTGTTTCTTGAACTGCCTTTCTCAATTATTTGTCTCACTATCTTAGTATTTTGGAGACTCATTTCCTTCCTTAAATAAGCCTTTCTTGACATTGATCTGAGTTCAATATCTTTCTACAATATTATCCTGTGCAATAACTCATTTGTCACATGTAACAATGTTGAATTTTACCTGAGCCTTTTGTTCCCAGAAAACAGCAAAAGTTAAGAAATCTCCTCATCCCTTTGTTTCAAGAAATGGTTTATTGCAAAGAGGTACCCTTCCCCTATGCCTGACTGGGATACTACTCATGCATGCCCCTCCTGTTTACCTATAATAAGGCCTGACACAAACCTTCCAAATTCCCATTCTTTGTCTGTTAATGATTAGCTGAAATGTTTTGTCCCCACTGACTAATTGGAGCAAAATTTCTTGTTAGCCAAAATTTAGCTAGGATTTTCTTCTTCCCCTAGGCCCTTGATGGTTGGCCTACCCTCAGCCTAAGTCAGCATAAAGCCCCTCCTGAGAATAGGCTAGTTTCAGGGTAAAACATTCTTTGACATATGGTCAGATCATGCCATTTCCCTTCATTCCACTTCCTGATACCTAGTTCTTTCTAGTCTTGTTTATTCCTCCTCCCGCTTAAAAAACAAAACAAAACAAAACCCTTAAGACATTTGCAGATCTAATGTCAGAGCATTTTTCCTATTGCAATAGACCCTTTCTCTGATTTGCGATAAGCCTTTTGAATATTCTCTCTTTACTAAGTCCTGGGTATTTATTTATTTAACAAGCCTATGCTGTAATGCAATCATTAGTCTATCTTTCCCACATAAGCTCACTGAGTTTAGCAACTCTCCATCCTATATATCTAGGACTAAGTAAGCTATCTGAACTATAACTGGCTTATCAGTTGACTATTAAATCACTAAGTAATTATCATTGTTGGAGTCTAAGCTTGATTTGACAATGTGAAACAGTTTATTCTTATAACTCAATTCTTTTATTTGGCTGCAATAATATCATACTGTTAATTTTTCTACCTTTTTAATTTTTACTTCTCAGTCTGTTTTGCTGATTTATTTTTCTCTGTAAACCACTTAAACATTAGGATACCTTAGACTTTCTTCCTTTTTCATCTCTTTGCTAACTCTCCTCAAATGATCACCTTCCTTGCTACATCTTACTGTCTTACATATGCAGATTATCCACATAGCTATATCTCCTGTCTGGAATTCTCTCTTAAACTATAGACCTATAAAATGAACTTCCAATTCTATTTCTCTACTTACATGTCAAAACCTGAAATAATTATCTCCTCCATTTGGATCAATTCATACCTCATATTGCATTACCTATATAGTCATTAAAACTATTATTCATCTTGTCAAACAAATAATAAATCCACATTCCTCTTTTTCTCATACCCCTTTCCATCCAATAAGTCACAAAAATCTATCAAATAAATCTCTCTTCAATCTGTTCCCTATCCTCTATACACTCTACCAATTTATTAAATAAGCCCTTACAAGCTAAGGCCCAAACTATCATAATAGACTTCTCACTAATTTCTCTATACTCAATTTCCCTTCACTCCAAAATTATAGAATACAGGATGATTTTTCTAGAATAAAAATGGGGTGATATAAAAGCCTGAAAAATTTCCCCAAATTCTTGCAAGACAAAGTCCTGTCTTCTTAGTATTACATATAACACCCTTTGCTATTTTAATCCTGTTTTTGTCTCCAGCATCACTTGGCATGCCCAAACATGTCCTCTAAACTCAAAGAACACTGAACTACTTGTCACTTGAATGTACCAACCTCTCTCAATACCTCTGTGCCTTTGCAAATGCTTCTACTGTGCCTCACATGCTCTACACTCATGCCAATACCTCAAAGATTTTTAAAGAAAATACATGCAGTTCTTTCATGGATTTTGCCCAGTATTCATATTCATGGTCTTCTTAGTTTAATGAAACCATTCTGTCAAAGGCCAGCTTTCTCATATTGAGTTTTCTATTTAGCTTGTCAACTACTCCAGTTAAGTTATGTAGCTGAGTCTAAGCTTTTTTCTGAAGCTCCTGACTGCTCTATCTCAGATGAGTCCTGCTACATATCAGTTCAGTTTGCTATGTATTGTAATCCTGACTGTACATGAGCCTCTCCATGAAACCTATTCTGTGATCTGTAGCAATGGATCCTATCACTTGGTCCATAATTACCCTGAAAAGATAGGAGGATTGTAGAATTTCCTCTAGTTTCTGTTATTTTATTATATTCATCAGGAAGAATAGCTTAGTTAAAGTCAGGCCACCCTAGTTTCTTCCTTTGATTAAGTCCTGTCTTAGTCCATTAAGGTAACTATAACAAAATACCACAAACTGGGTAGTTTATAAACAACAGAAATATATTTCTCAACAGTTTTGGAAGCTGGCAGATTTGGTGTTGGGTAAAAACCAATTCCCTGGTTCACAGATGTTGCTTCTCTGGTATGTCCTCACATGGTGAAAAGGGGAAGAGATCTCTACAGAGCCTCTTTTTATAAGGACACTAATCACATTTATGAGGGTTCTACCCTCATAAGCTAATCACCTCCCAAAGGCCCCACCCACTTCCAAATCCCACCACACTGAGGATTAAGAGTCAGCATAGAAATTTTGAAAGGGCCACAAACATTCAGACCACAGCAAGTCCCATCTTCATTACATCAAAAAAAAAAAAAAATTACCTCTAGGAAATAGTAATTTTTAAAAACATTATCCTTTATTGGTTTTTAGTATAGAGGTGATCACCACAAATCTTTATGTTTCTTCGTTAATTGCATTTGGGCTAATGGTGTTTATATGTGGCTTGGTGAAGGGACATTGAGT